CGCCTGGCATGCGTGCGGCCCGGGTTCGATCCTCAGCACCACATACCAACAAAGATGTTGTGTCCGCCGAGAACTAAGAAATAAATATTTAAAAAAAAATTCTCTCTCTCTCTCTCCTCTCTCACTCTCTCTTTAAAATAAATAAATAAAATAAAATAAAATAATATATGCAATTGAACTAGATGCACTGTTCTAAAAGCATGTCATTCCATTAACACATAATCAACTCCTACAATAATAGCACCTGCATTTATTGAACACCTACCATGTGCCAGATACCACCCAGAGGGCTTCCTATGTTTGCATCCTGACAACAGCCCTGGAAGACAGAAATTTCATGGAGGAGGAAATCCAGCATCAGAGAGGCTCAAGCACTTGCCTAAGTCCACACAAGTTACAGGTGGCAGAGTCAGGATTCAAACTCAGGGCAGAGTTCCAGCTGTCACACACTAGGTGGCCGGTTCTTTACCCTATAAAAGGCCCCACCCCACCCTCCAGTTTTGCCTTGGAGGGTTCACAGGCTTGTGGAAGCCTACTACAGATCCTGAAATCAGATGATACAGAGAGAGCTGCGTTCAAGTGCAGACCTTCCAACCTCTTGGCTGTGTGGCTTTGGACTGGTTAGGGCCCCACCCTGAGGCTCGGTTTCCTCATCTATACGGTGGGGAGACCTATTCTGCAGGGTCTGTGAGGGGCACATAAAAACAGGCAGGCACTATGCCCTGCCCTCTAGATCTCGGTGGCCTCCACCCCCAGCAGACACCCCCGGGCTCTGGAGCAAATGAAATGCCACTATGAGGTGCCAGCCTCTGGCTGCCCTGGGACCTGGGTCAACTCAGAGGACAACAGTAAAGTCCTCTAATGGAACAGTTCCTGTTTACAAAGCTTCTCCTGTAGTTAGAGGATTTTCCAAATAAAGTGTCACCCCAAAGTTGGGGACAAAAGTCAGGATAGCAAGGAAAACACAGGGCCATTGAAAACCTGCTCCACAGGAGGCTCCAGCCTTCCCAGAAGGCCTGGGCCCTCACAGCCCTCACGTCTGCACAGGTCTCCTCTCAGTGAGGCCACCCCGACTGGCGTGTTGTAGTGCCCACTAATAAATATATTGCTCTTTTTGGTGTGTGTGTGTGTGGTACCAGGGTGCTCTACCACTGAGCCACATCCCTGGCCCTTTGGTTTTCAGTTTGAGACAGAGGCTAAGTTGCTGAGGCTGGCCTCGAACTTGTAAATCTCCTGCCTCAGCCTCCGAGTAGCTGGGACTATAGGCATGGCTCATCCATAGTTGCTAAATGAATGACCCAAAAAGATTCCGATTGAAGACAGAACTCAACCTGAAGGAGGTGCCACAGTGACCTTTGCAGCGCAGACACACGC